TCTTAAGGTCAATCCTCTCTAGAGGATTGATATGAAATGGCAAGATACAAATGCAGACACTTTGCTCAATCTTTGTTAATCTTTTCATTGCTACTGGGGCAGAATGATTCTTTAAGGAGCACAGGCAAAAGGGCCAATGACCTGAGCTTGAAGGTCACTAAATCCAATTCAACCCAGAACAGCGAAGTCACAGCTTCTACAGACATACCAGAACCTTTTCTGCAATCACAGACTTTTGGTTTATCTAGATTGGCTTTTTTCCTCATTGATTAACCCAAGTGTCTGAAAGTAATTATAGCCAGCTCTCCATTGCTTGTGACAGGCTGCAACAGTGACAGGGTAAAAGGGTGAAGGGGAAAAAAAAAGCCAAAATATGGATTTAGATAAAGGACGCAGACCTACCTTCTTAATCATTACAACACTCTAATATTATCTTGCATTTCCTAAACAAACTCTGGGGACAAAGACGTCTATTTTGAGTTGAACAGAGTAGATAATGTCACTTCAAGATAGGTTATCTAAGTTTGGATCTTGGTACTATTAATTGTTCCCTTTCATTTTTTTTCCTCCCAAACTTCCAGATCTCAGAAACTGTGCTAGTGACTTCTACAGAAGGACTTGCAGGTGAATTTTGAAGAGTCAAGATATGGAGAGAAACCAGCTTTTGTCATGTTGAAGAGACATCAGAGACAGGAGTTCTTGGGATTCTGTCACATGCTTGTTTGCACTTCCAAGAAAGCAGAGTTCAAGTGCACTTACAGACCAGAGACAGGTGAGAGGTGTAGGGAGGCGGCAAGAAGGCTCAGCAAACCTGAGAATAGCACAGCGTATCTGCCAAGGAGGCTGCGGGTGCCCACATTTTCTCCACCGCTTGGGAGCTGCCTTGGCTTCATATCCTGTTGCTGCTGGGTCACAGCAGGAAATGGGCTCTGATGATTTTCACTCGCTTGACACATTCTTCTGGGGTTTTGTCTTTCTTTTTCAAATGAGCCAGTGATGTCTTTGTGTAATAAATACTGGGCGAGTCTTAGGATACGGAAGCAATATTTGTTATAGTCTCCCCTCACTGGCTCTTTTCTGAGAAACAATTCTGGGCGCAGCCACCTCTCTTATGCCTTACACCACAGAGGAGTGATGGGGGCTTGTGAGCAGAAACTGACCCTGCAGTGGTTTCATTCTCTTGTCCACAAAGGCAGTGGAAGCATCTACTGCCCTGGGATTTCTGGCAGTCGCAGTGGAAAGGAAATGGAGATGCCAAGTTATGGAAGTGCTTGCGCAGTTGGGTCTTGGACTACAAAAGCATCATGATTTGCTTTCCTACCCAATTACTGCTCCTCCCCTGGTTGGTTCCCTTTCCCATCTGTATCCAGCAGGGCTGGCTAACCTTCCTTTCCTCCTCCTGGGAGAACACATATTGCTCCAGGGCAAAGGAAGACCAAGACAAACAGCAGGTTCTGAGAGGCCTGGGGAACAGGGGATCGCCAGAGGACAGCTTAGCTGCATGGTTCCCGAAGCAAGGCATCTCCAAATGAGCAGGAGATGATGCCATTGACATTTTTATAGCACAGCTATAAAATAAAAACTTGTTATTTTATAAACCTTGTTCTTATAATTCACTTCTCAAAATGGTGTAATGTATTTGTCCCTTTTTCTAAGAGAAAAATTTAAGTCCCAATGAAGTTAAGTTACCTGACCACTTCCTCACAGCTGATTAAGTGGCAGAGCTAGGGTTTCAATCAGGCTGTTATTGTTTCCAGGTCATTATACTCTATAGACCCTAAAGCCATCTCATATCTAAGAAATAATGGGAACAGGCTTGAAGAAATTAAGGGGGGAGGATCAGAAAATGACTGAGATAGATGTCAAATCCAAGGGCTGTTTACATGTGCAATGGAACTCTCATGTTTCCCATGAGGAGGAACTGTTAACTTTGGTGAAGAATCCTCCTCGAGAAGATTCCTCAACAATTTTCCACTGTATAGAGGGAGAGCAATGCCAGCTTCCTTAGCACACTGCCCCAGACAGGCCCCTCTCCAGGCCCTCGCCTTGCCTTGCCTCTCACCACTCCCTCCCTGCAGCCTGTGCCTTGCAGCTCTCCCTAGCTTTTTTTTCATTTTTACATTTCTTGGTTGTAGTAAAATAAACAAAATCTACAATTTACCATCTTAACCATTTTTAGCATATGGCTCTGTAGTGTCACGTCTACTTACATGGTTGATAAAACCTATCTCCGTAATTTTTCATTCGGCAAAATTCAAACTCCGTACCCATTACATGCTCCCCATTCCCCTGATTCCTAACAACCACATTTCTACTATTTCTGTGAGACTGACCGTGCAAGGTACTTCAGATATGTGGAATCATACAGTTTTTGTCTTTTTGTTGAGACTTTGTCTTTGCACACATTATTCATTGTTCCTCTGGACACCCTCCCCATGTTTTTACTGGTTAATTCTCAGGAATCTTTCAGAAGTCAATTCAGATATTATCACCTCAGGCTCTCCATGGCTCTCTACTCTCAGTGAAGTGCCCTTCTTATATATTTAGTAGTGTATTAATCACTTGAGAGTTGTCCATGTTTTAACCCATTGATACGCAACATGGGGTTGAAGATCTGCATTCTCACTGCCATACATCTGGGAGCTTGTTAGAAATGCAGCGTACTCTTTACGAAGGTCCCAGTAAATCACACATACATGAAAGTTTGAAAAGCACTGTTCTAGCTCGTTGGACAAGAGGCCCGCAGACAACTCATGGGCCAAACCCGGTCAGCAGCCTGTTCCTGTAAATACAGTTTTATTGGAACACAGCCACTGACATTGCTTCCTGTATTGTCTATGATTGCTTTCACGCTACAGTGGAAGAGCTGAGCAGTTGCAACAGAGACCACCTATGACCACAAAGCCAGGAATATTTACTCTCTGCCTCTTTACCAAAAAGGTCTGTGAACTTCTGCACTAGATCGTGAGCTCCTTAAAAATGAGAACCAGGTCTTATTTTGCTTTGTAAGAAGAAACACAGACTAGTATAATGGTTAATTAAACGTGTAGGCTTGAGGGTAGACTGGCAGGATTCGTTATCTAGGCTCTGCCATTTCTTTCTTTCTTTCTTTTTCTTTTTTAAGATTTTATTTATTTATTTGACAGACAGAGATCACAAGTAGGCAGAGAGGCAGGCAGAAAGAGAGGGGGGGAAGCGGGCTCCCCGCTGAGCAGAGAGCCCGATGTGGGGCTCGATCCCAGGGCCCTGGGATCATGACCCAAGCCGAAGGCAGAGGCTTTAACCCACTGAGCCACCCAGGTGCCCCAGGCTCTGCCATTTCTTTTCAAGTGACTGGGCAACTCACAATCCCTCTGTGCCTTATGCTCCTCATCTATGAACTGGGAAAAGATAATAGAACCTACCTTACAGGGTTGTGTATGGGTTAAGTGAGTCAAACCAGGTGAAGTGGAAGTGCCTCATGTGGTGGCTTCAGCAAATGTTCTCCCTTACAGCTGGTTCCAGATATTTTTAGAGTACCATGGGGGAGCTGTTAATGTTGTACAGATGATTATGATAATAGACATTATCTACTAACACTCTTTCTCTGCTACTTCCTTGCTAACATCTATTAGGTATCTAACTTTCCTGGAGGGTGGCCTCCTCTCTGTTGGTGGTGGTGGGGGGGGAATATTGTTGCAAGTAATGCCATTTTCAGTAGCTGTGGATTGGCTTAGGGGTGACATTTCTGGCCAATGTGAAAAGCACTGTTGAAGAAGGACTTCTGGAAAAAGGTTTCCTCATTCTTTAAAATAAAAAACAAGGAAGAGATGACTCTGTTCTTTCATATTGTTATATATGGATGTGATGCTCTGAACTGCAGCAACCATGAAGGTAGGTAGGCATTCTGAGAATAGGACAAGCCTGTCTACAATGGCAGAGGGACAGATGGGAAGAACCTGGGCCCTTTATGAGGTCAGAGTTGCTGAATCCATCAGCCCCTGGGGCTTAGCTACTCAGGTACTCGTTTTATGGAAGAAAATAAATTTCCTACAAGTTTTCCTTCAGTCCAGAGCATCCTGACTCATACAGCCATATACACACATTTTTATTCCACCCAGGACCTAACAACTGCTGCTGGGTTCCATGAGCAAAGAAAAGAGTAGCAACTGGAAATGAATGTGCTGGGTAGAGCCAAAGAAAAATCACGATGTCCTGGGTTAGTGCAGACCCAATTCGTCATTGCCTTTTATCACTCTCAGCTGGTAGCATCTTTTCTTGATACCTGTGGCTCTCTCCCAAGTGCTGATCTCCTTAGTTGACTGTGCCTGCTACCGAAACTTGACAAGTGGGTTTTGATTATTTCCTTGGTGACATCCATGATTTTCCTTCTAGGTAGGAGGGCCTGAGGACAGCTTATGTGTGTGTTTTGGGGCTCAGGCAATAGAAGTGGCATCTCTTATGTAACGTGAAATAAAAGGAAGTTTTCTTTGGGGTAGAAGTGTTAAAAAATTACTTAGAATTTACAGCCACAGGGATTTTGTGGTGTGTCAGCTTACATACTGGGGCTCTGTGTGACATCTGAACCAGAACTAACAGCAGAGATTCAAAGCAATGTAGGTGGCTGAGTACGTATGAGGAGAGAAGGTGAGTGGGAATGAGCTGGCTACTGCATCTCTCCCGAAGGGCAACCTGGCCTGAGCTGAAAAAGGTGAAGGATCGGCTTCAGCAAGTGAGGCTGAACTCCCTGCCATCCCACACTCCTGCAAATACTTACTAAAGCTAGAAATGCTGAGCTCCTTCTGCCTGTGAATATCCGGGGTGGGAGAGCTCTGGAGCCATAAAGTCATTGTAACAATCATATTTTAAGGCTAGAAGGTGCCATGAGACATGATCTCATTCATCTCTTTGTCCTTAGGCAGTAATATTCGACCTAAAGCCTTCCAACCATAGCAGAACACATTTTATGGTTAAAAGCCTCCAGAGGGGGGAAAAAAAGTGTAAGACTGCACAACTTTCTCCCATAAACCACTTTAATTGTGTGCACATCATCTACTTCAGAGTCTAAGAGAACCTGATGCCCATTCTAGACCCATCCCATTCTCATCAATTTAATCCCAAGATCCCCCTCCAAATGGGAGGATCCATAATTCAGTGACAGCAGGACACTAACAGGCAGGCGCAAAGCTAAGGGATGAGGGGGCAGAGGTCTCCCGTGACCTCCTTAAAACTTTTCTGTCAGCTACTGACATGCATTTAACGTCACGTTGTCTGCCTCCTTTCCTACCAACAATTTCTCCTAATTGTTCCTTTCTTCTAAGACACTACAGCATGATATAGCACTTTTGCCTTCATCTTCGAGTGTTCTCAAAGACTAATTAGATCCTTAAAGAACAAGAAGTAAAAAGCTTTTTGTGGGTAATCAATTCCCTGCAGGTTGGCTAATATTATCGGTTCAGTTTAAAAGTCCCTCACTGGAGACTTGTGAAGACAGAAGCCCATAGCCCCCTGGGTTTCCTACTCTTTGGGCATTCCCAGTGTCTCCTTTCCCTTTGGAAGTACTGGGCTGAATAAGCAATCTGCCATGCGATTCTGCTGAAGGAAGAGAGAAGGTCACAGAGACTGAAACTCAACTGCTCTTGGAGAGGGCTTAGGAGTAAAGCTAATAAATAAAATCTTTGATGCAACTCTCTTTTAGGAAAGGGTGTGGGGAGTGGGGTGGATCTACCAAGAAGCTTTGGCAGTCTGCTTTGAAGTCTTCTGAGCAGAAAAAAGTGTAGCCACCCAGGGAAGCAGCCTTCAGTGATCCTCCATAGGGCTGATGTGTTGGAGAATAGTCAATCACCAAAAAGTCCCTTGAGAAATGTTTTCCCTCCATCTTCTGGAATTATTGGGAAACTAGACAGAACTTGGGGGGTCTGGTTTTGGGAGTGGTCCTAAAAGAAACTGCAGTTTCCTGGTAAAAACAGAGAGCTCCAGAAAATTGTCTGTTCCTCCAAGAAATTTGGCTTTCAGTTTTCCCTTGGTCTATCTATAGCTTGTGTGTTGGTGGATCAGGAGCATGTATGCACAGGGCCAGGCTCCTGGCAAACAATCTTAGGGAAGAGGGCAAAGGAGAGGCAAAAGGGGCTCATTCTTCTACCTCACAGATTCCTTTTCCAGGATCTACCCACCAGCAACAATCTGAATAGCACAAAAAAGTACGGAAATGGATATGCATACGATTGGTACATATTTCCCCCATCATCTGCTATGTTACCTGCCCTGTGGAATAGAGCTGGGGGAGAACTGTGACCCTGGGACCCTAGGCCTTCTGAGCTACAGTCCAGCTGCAGAGGGCACAGGTTCCTGACTGGTCGCGGGGTGGCACAACAACCCTCCTTTCCCAGCCTTCAAAGAATGGGTGAATAACCTACGGCTAAGGGGAGACACCCATTCTCTTGGGGCTGCCTGGGGTATCTGAGGCAGAGGTGGTTATGGTTGACTCCTCAACAGAGGCACTGAGATCCAAGAATTCCAGGATGATGTCCCAAAGGCAGTAAATCAAGTGCCTGAAACAAATGGACAGAACAACTTAGAGGGTCTGGCTCAGTCAACAGACACCAGATCCTGTTTATGACATTTATTTTCCCTTCCCCCCACCTTGCCCATTACTGATATCCTTAGTGAACTCTAAATTTCAATAGCCCGATGAAGCCTCTGCCATGAAATAAAAGTTTGGTGAATAAAGGTTATGACCCCAGTGAAGGTGGAAACAGAACTTGAGACTAAATTTCAGGAAATTCCACATTTATTTATATAGCTACCTTACCACATCAGCACTGCCCTGAAGACTGTGAGGGAGGGAAAAATCCCTGTGATATCAACTTATTAAGAATTTTCAGAGCTTCTGACTATGGCTGTTTCTCATAGTTCATCATTATAGATCTACAGTGACCTTACGGGCAATGGAGCAAAAGCCAGCACCCTTGTGTAGTGACAGTTGATAGGTACAGTCTGCTTTGGGACAGAGTTTGAGAAATGACTGGCAGTCCTGAATACTTTTCAGAAGCATTGGTATCCCAAGGTACCAGCAAGGAAAATACCTACCTCTTCTGGGTTATTCTAGGGGTGTTCACTCAGTATTTCTGGGCCCTTTTATCAGAGCCCAACCTCATTATCTTGTCTCCTTCCTATTAAGCAAAGACAATTCTTGATTCTAACACTGAATCAGCTTTGTGGTGAGGCCTTGAGCACAGAGCTGAAAATAATCATCCAGCCTGTGGTACACAGGCTAGGGGATGTTCTTATAGTGTTCACAGGCAGGTGTTGAAAGAATTGCTAAGCACACTGAATAAGCCTGGAGGGTGACAGGGCATTTTCAGTAGCTCACATGGGGGCCTGCATCGAGTTCTTCCACATGGAAACAGTGGCTGGCCCAACACTGGCCCACTGCAGTATGACAACCTGCTCAGAAGCAGGCAGTGTGGGTTTTCCTTAGTGTGTACGGACCTGGACATCACAATCGGCAGTCAGGGCAGAGAAAGACTGCAGTTCTATCCACCTCCACGTGGGCTGCTCACTTAGAATCCGTGGACACCTGAGACCAGAGATGGCTTTAGCGGTAGAGATGCTGCATACATGCCTTCCACCCTACCTGTTGATAAGGGGTTGCTGCAGTGACTCCAAGACTAGACTCCAGCTCAGCCGGCATCTGTTCACCCCAAGGATTTCTACCACAATATCTGAAGAGGAAAAAACAGATGTGGTTTCAGCAGTAACACTGAAACCTGAGATTCTAAGGAGATTATCTCCTGATATCTACTATCTTATCCAAACTGGGAACTTCTGGCAAACTTCTGAACCACACAGCCAAACTAAAACAGGGAAAAGCTAAGAAAAGTGTTTCTTAAGTGTTTAAGTAAGGATGGACCTGAAGAAATAATTCTGTAACCTGTCACTGTAGGTACGTCTGATTTAACAGTTAAGGGTAGAGAACAGAGGTTGGTAAGAGTATCTAATGACATGGATGGAACTAGAGGGTATTATGCTAAGTGAAATAAGTCAATCAGAAAAAAACAACTATCATATGATCTCACTCATATGTAGAATTTAAGAACAGAGGAGCACAGGGGAAGGGAGGGAAAAACAAAACAAGACAAAATCAGACAGGGAGACAAACCATAAGACTCTTAATCATAGGAAACAAACTGAGGGTTGCTGGAGGGGAGGGAGTTGGGGGAAGGGGTAACTGGCTGATAACACATTAAGGAAGACACGGGATATAATGAGCACTGGGTGTTATATGCAACTGATGAATCCCTGAACGCTACCTTTGAAACTAATAATACATTACATGTTAATTAACTGAATTTAAATAAAAAATAAATATAACAGAAAAACAAAAGTATATAACATTGTCCTAAGAGCTAGCCATTCACTACTATACCCTCATTACCACAGCACAGCCATAGGTAACAAACTGCCTTCCCAACCTCCTAAGACCCTACAGAAAGTAAAGAAAAAAAACCCTCTTCAGAGTTGGTTTTTATCTACTGCTAAGGACCATATGCCTTATTCAACGACCCCAATTTATCAAGGCCGAGCTTCTGTGGAACATATCATTTTCTTCCCTGGTCCAAATACCATGAGTTGGCAGAGAACCTGAAATCTTCATCTGCTGGGAATAGTTCTGAGACCTGCCTCTGTGGTGTAGGCATAGCTTTTATTACCTCATATCTGCAGGATTCTCCTACTATTTATGGTGTGGTCACATTGATCCTTTCCATTCCCTCAGCATCACTTGAATGAGGGGGAGAAGAATCACAGCTCTGAGCATTTACCTATTAGCCTGAGAAATGGTGGGTCAACAGATTTTTGAGTCTAGGTTTCTGAGGGGTGTGGGGTAATGGTGGCAAGGCAGGATGGGAAAGGAATAATTATAAACATAACCAATCTCATTGTTGAATTACCTGGCAAGATTCCCATCAGGCTCTGCAAGGCCTGTTCTTCGGCAGCCACTTTCTGCTCCTGGGTCCTCACAGGCCGTGGACACTTCGGTAAAACCCCACCAGGCCAGATGGACTCCTGAAGAAGCTGGAGGTACTGCACCCAGCGCTGTGGACATGTTAGGTTAGCCACCTGCACCTCTAGCCACCTGTGGTGGAAGAGAGGAGAAAGGTCAGATAAATCTGAAGGAAACACCACGGCAAAGGAGGTGAGCAATGAGAATAGGGCAAAGCGAAGGCAGTGCCCACTCTTACAAGTGACACCAAGCCAATTCAACAACTTGAGACCACAGAATTTGAAGATGAGTAATAATAATAATCTTGTTATTTACTGAGTGTCTACTAGGAGCTCCATGTTGTATTAGGGGTTTCACAGAACAGAGCACTAGTAGGGCCCCTGTCCCTGGGCAGGACTGGAGCTTGCCAACTGTCCTCTTGGGAAGCACTGTCCTCTCAGCAATGTGCACACACAGCCTTCACAGTTAAGGGTTTGGTGATTTTACACAAATTTCTCTGCTTTGCCACCCTGTCTACTTCTAGCTGCTCTTCGTGTCCCTATGAGCTGTTCTGAGAGTACCCTTCATCTGTCCTTTGCTCATGGAAGTCCTCTCACTGGCAAGTCCCTCTTCTTTCCAGAAGTCAGCTATTCTCGAAAGACCTGTTGAACCCCACCTCCTCCACAAAATTCTTCTTGATCATTCCAGCCAGAAGTGCTCCGCTTTGTCCTCTCAGACCCCCTCTGGCACTTAGTTCTACAGCATAGGTTTTGAACTCATATTTTACATTGGAGCAGAAATTATTTCCTCATGTGTTTACAGCTCTACTTTTCCAACTAAATTATAAGCATCACAAGAGTTCTAGGTCTTACACTTTTAAAAAGTTCCCCACAGTGCCTTGGTGCTCAAAAAATGTTTGTTGACTGATTGCAATTATTCTTGTTATGATGAAAACTTCCTCCTTTATCTCACATCAAAAAAAATGAGGCAATAACTTGGAGGGGGCAAATCAAACCTGCAGTTCCTGCAGGGCATTTTCTCTCTCATTCTTTATTTGTTCCTGCATGTTTTCAGAGCAATACGGTTACTACCTGAGGTTCATGGCTGCCCAAGGCCTCCTTAATATGTAGCAGGGCTGAGACTGGCAGGGCTCTCTGCCTGTAATGGACGGACCATCAGCCATTACTCTGGTACTACACCACGTGGCAGCTCATGCCACTGCTCCTATACCCGAGTTACTTGTCACCCGTCCAAGAGCAGAGGGGGCTGCCAAGGCAAACTTTATTTAACCTCCACTCTGCCAGACAGTCTGCATTCCTCTCAAGCTAGGCATTCCAGCCTTGGGGGCTGCAATCCCCCAGGCCGAGGGCTCACAAATGATTCTAAGAATAGGAAGTCTGAAAGGTAATGGCAGGGCAGGAATGGCAGACACTGATGGAGATCAAGAGCGGCACAAAGCTGCTCTTGCCCAAAATAGCCATCACGATCGTATTTGTTATTATTAGGGCTTCATCTCCTTTTTATAGGGCTTTTCATTCAGCGAGCCTAAGACGCTTGATGAAAGGGATCCAGTAGCAAGAATTTCTGTTCCTGTTTATAGAAGAGGGTCAGCAAAGGGAGATGGATATGATGCCCTGATCAGATTCTCTGCAGGGGATCAGGTGACTCAACTCTCGTTCTTCACCTCGAGCCACAAATGCTTGTATGACTTCTGCTAAGGTGAATGACACGCACCAGGGTATCATCTGAGTGACTGGAGGGCGGGAGCGAACACCTGAAAACCAAAATCTTGAAGTCCTTTGAAAAGTCAGGAGAGTCTTAAGCCAGCTGGAATTAGTTCTAGCTCAGTTCTCATTCACATTTGCACAGTGTGCCCTGACTCTTGTCCTGTGGGGCCACTGATGCCTGTGACCCCACTCTACAGAGGCACCTCAACATCCACTCAATCCTTCTCAGAACAGAATATTCACCAGTAAATCTGGGTACCTCAGTCACCTTCTGGACTTGGCTTACAAGAGAGGAGAATGACTGTTTTGAACTACTGTTAATTCACCTGACAGGAACAGGCCCCTGTGCTGCACCATGGCAAGGATGTCTGTCCTCTTTGTTTTCTTCCATCGTAACTCAGTGACTCAAGCACACCAGCGGGGTGCAAAACAAATTTTAGCATGTGGCAAAATATGAATGTATAAATGTATATAAATCTACAGAACAAAAGCTTATTAAACTCTAAATGGGAATGTTGGGAAGAAGAACCAAAGTAGGAAAAAGTAAAAATAAACCCTTTGATGATGAGGATGAGTCAGTGAGTCAAGACAAGTTGCTGGCGTTAAGCAGAACTGACAGAGAGAACTCAAGTCTCCAAGTGAATGTCAGCTGCTGATAAAGAAACTGTCAAGCACTATAAAACCCTAAGGCACAGAACTGATCAACAGAAGGCTCTAGAAGAGTCTGTCCCAGGAATGTAATGAACATAAGAAAATATAAGACTTGTGCAAACTGGCAGAAAAGAAACAAAATGCACGTCTAGAAAGAGGCACATAATGTAGAATGTGGCTTCTACCTATGAAGTACTATGGTTTCTGTTAGTCTTACTCTTCTCCATACCCCGAAGGCGAAAGACGTCAACCACACACCCTGGTACTGTGAAGATTTAAACATTCACCCTTTTCAGGATTCTCCTCTTGCCCAGGTTCCTCCCACCCCTCCTCCTCCAAGAACAGGAGGCTTTCTCCTGGATATCTGGGGTTAGCCAGGTTTTATTTCCTAGCCCCAGGCAGCCTATGGAAAAGAGGCAGGGCAGCAAAGCTTTCTCCCTCACAGAACTTCTGAGGTATACTCTCTCGTCATGGGTGATGAGCATCCCAAAGGGGAAGGAAAAAAGGATACAGCCGAAACCAAGAAAATGACCAGTGCCGACTACTTCTACCACCCAAACTGCCCTGCCCGTCAGACAAAACAGAAACAAGTCTGTGAACTTTAGAACAATTTCCAAGGCATGTTTTATTATTCCACAAAATGCCTTTTTTAAGTTGTAAATGGCCAGATTCGGGGATCCGGTATTATTTGCCTTGCCTAACACCTAGCATAGAATCAACAACTGATGACAGTGAAGAGGGCAGGGATTTCTTCATCCAATGAGCTCTTCTACCTCTTCCATCCCCATTTCCTTTCCTCTTATTCTATCATCCTTCTCCAGAGTGTAGTGCCACACATCATACCACAGTGCTTTATCTAGCCTTATTAATTCCCTTCATCCTGCTCAGTTCATTCTGAAAACGGGTTAGAGCAGATAAGGTGAAGAGATTAACACTGGAAAATTAAAAAACAGACTGACGCCTTAGCTTCTTATTAATTCCCTTCATCTCTCTATTCCACATGTTGTCTTTCTATTCTTAACCTACAAGTGGGAAAGTTAAAAAGAAATCTGTGTCCCTATAGCCTCTCTTGAAGCAAAAGGAATGGAATGCGTGTGTCTGAGGTCCAACGTACCACAGAAGCTTTTCCAGTATCAGTTTCTGGAATCTGTTGGTACGGCTCACAGAAATCTAAAGTTTCAAGGTGGATACACACACATATCCCTTGGTTTATTTATTGTAAATTATTTATAAGAATTCATTTACTAAATACAAATGTTATTGTTTATGTAATTCAAGACTCATGAGGTAAATACGCTAAAATAAATATGGTAGAGACTAGCCACAAATAGCATTGGTTTTAGTTTCTACTACTATTCCAGTTCTGATATTAGTTTTATAGCTATCTCTCCGCCTACTATCCTACCTTTTTTCACCATTAAAAGAAGAAGGAAAAAAAGCCAAACCAGGTCTGTTCTGTCAGGATGTCCCTGGATGATTCTGAGCACAAGGCAGCCTTCCTAGTGGGCCTAGAGATAGCCAATAAAATGAGAAAAAAGCAACAACAGACTGACACAGAGATATTCAAGATCTTTTCTGATGCCAGATATGGAAGGAGGGAGGATGTGGAGATGAGGGCTTTCCACTACACTGGGAGTGCATGTCCAGTCCGTGTTCACAGGAACCTGATCTGAAATAGCTACAGATGGAGGAATGAAGCAATAGCTAAAAAGGAGACAGTTTAATGCTAGGGCTTAAGATGGCACCTCAAGGTTAGAAGAAGGTCATTTCCCATCAAAACAACAGAATCAAATCTCACGATTAAGGAGAAAAAGCTTAATAGGGACCATGTTTAATCTAATTACCCACTGACCCTTCACTTCTTTGCTAAGAGCTGCTGTGGCTGAGTGAGGAGGGGTCCACGGGGAGGATCATGAAGTTATAACACAGAAAATATTCCTAACAGCAGTAACAATCTTCTAACAAAAATGCCTGGTGCAGTCCAAACAAAAGAAAACAACAGACTTATTCCTTGTACCCTTTTTATCCATCTGGCTACCTCTGTAGGCAACCCAAGGGCAATTACACTTCCACGTCATTTTCACGTATGAAATATGGTTCAAAGAAAAAAGAGAGGGTAAAAGAAGATCAGGTTAAAGCTCCTACCATTCTAAACAGTTTTACAGTAGAAGTGTCAACTCATTTTATTACCCTTAGAGTTTTCCAACCCTGGCACTACTGACATTTTGGACTACTAATTCCTTGTTGTGGGGGGCTGTCCTGTGCACTGTCAAATGTTTAGCAGAATTCCTGCCCTCCCAGGTACCTCTTGTGTAACAGTCAAAAACGTTTTCAGACGTTGCTGCGCATCCTCTGTGAGGCAAAATCATCCCCAGTTGGGAATCACTGCCTTAGACTTAGGATGTTGGAAGCCATGTGCTGGGCCATTTCCAGTCACCTCAACTCTAGTGGCTGTAGCACATCATTTCTCAAACTGTGGGCTCAACAGCATTAGAGGCCGCCATGCACTCAACACTGTAGTTTGTGACATTTAAAAACAGCTAAGCAGGATAGATGAGAAAACGTGAATGTGTATCTCATGTTTCGGGACCCTCTGTTTCATATATGGATGTTTATATGGTTCTAGCAGATATATTTGTGTTGCTTGCATGTACTATGTGGTCACAGTGGGTCATGATGTAAATGTATTTCCTACTGTGGGTTGAAGTTTAAAAATAGCAAGAAAAACACTGATATAGTATAAGGAATTAGGAGTTCCCAGAAAAGGGGGAAAAA